GGTTCTAGGCACACACACTTATAAAACCCTTTGCTATCTCTTTCCAGATCCCAGACCGGGCTCGAGTTGCTCCTTCCTCTTCAGACCCAAAATTCAAGTTTTTTGAACTAATCAAGGTAAATCTGATTCATATAGCAACATATAAAAGGCCTTTTTTCTAGGGTGGACAGTATCACCCTGGCTTCTGTAAGGATTGAGAAGGCGTCGGCCTTGGACCTAAAAGGGTGGTCTAGTCTTCCCAGTGAGCTGAGGAGGGTTTCCCAAGGGCTCCTCAGGCCAGCAACAACATCCTGCTACCAAAGTGGGTGCTGGCTGCTGGGGTCCAGCCCCAGCCACTGACAGTGTGGCCCGAGAGGAGATAAGGAGTCTCGGGAGAAGTGAGTCAGGTGTGGTGGTCAGGGGACTCTTGTAGCACTGATTGACTAGCAATCGGGTTGTTTCTTTCTTTATGCCAGTTTCACTAGCAAAGGCAGACTAATGATTATCCAAGAAGTGCAGATTGTATCATTTGTGTATGGACATGTGTTTGATTTTTTTTTTTTATTACATGTCTGGGGTTATAAGTTCAGTCACAATTAGAAAGTATAAATAGAACAGATTTTATTCTTATTATCACTCCAATAACTCCAAAGACCGTTTCCTCCAAAACAAACATGTTCATTATATGACAACTTGATTTTAGGCTAGCGGTATTTAAAGCACTCCAGACAAACAGAAAATACCTTAACTGTTTTTTTTTATGAATAGCAAATACTAATACCTAAGCCCTTTTACTTATATCTTCATCTGCGCTATACAGTAGGAAAAGGTTATTTTAGTCAGATTAATCTATCTTATTTACTGAGTTCTCTTTTTACCAAGATCTGTAGGATCCTGCATTGTTAAACTACATTTTCAGAGAGCTCTAAGCGTATTGTAAAACAAGGCTTTGAATTTGTTACCTGTTCTTTAACATGTCATAAGGGATTTGTCTACGGAGGAGACGGGGATTGTGGGATGATCTGAGGCAGGGGAACTATAAAGGAGCCACATTAGGTCTGGCCTGAACCATCTTCTCCATCCTGATTTTAGTGACCTAGTCTTGAGTTGTTCTGCCACCAACCTCCAGCTCTTTCCAGGGCATCACCTCAAGCTGGCCCAGTTGTGGTCATTGTCTTGGTTTTGTAAGAGTCAGAGACTAAAGAATGAGGTTCAAGATTTTTCTGAATGGGGTAGAGAGGTCACTTCTCTGCTCTCAAGCCAGCTGCTGGAGAATCCTAGCTTTATGTGTCACTAAATGTGTGGCTACTCTATCGTGGTGACATTCCCTGTAGCTCTGGTAAATCCATTTGTACTTTGTTCTTCCCTTCCTAGTTTCTCCTAATGGGTCCTAAAGGAATCCTTTAAATGGATGGAAATAGATACTACTCAGTGATTGGTTAGGTAGAGAAGGGGGCACAGGTCATCTTCCGACCCCTGGTCCCTCACGTCTGCCAGCCTGCCCCAGCAGTGTTTTCTCTCATCTGTGCCACAGGACACTGACATCAATATCTTCAGCTACAAGCCCACGTTGCTCACTGCCAAAACCCTGGAGAAGATCCGTCCTGTGTTGGAGTATCGTTGCATGGTGTCTGGCAGCGAGCAGAAATTCCTCCTGGGCCTGGGGGTAAGTCGGCAGCTGGCATCCTGTTGGCTTGGGGTGGTGGCAGTGCCCTCTGTGTATAGATGTAGACAGCTTCTGGCCACACTGTATGTGTTCATTCCATTGGCATCAAAGAGGTCTTCCTCAAAACCTTCTTTCCTTTCTTGCCCAGACTTACCAAGTGTGGGTCAGTCGCTCATGCTTTTGTGTCTTCATGTATTTGTTTCTTTCCTGCTGCCTAACCTTGCCTGGCTGAAGGGAAGGCTGTTGCTTTTCTTGAGATGCAGAGCCAGTATGTCATCTGGCTGATCCTGAGTGACCAAGTCCCTGCAGTCCCACCCCTGCCATTCATTTCCTGTCGGGAAGACACCCCTTTTCCTCTCCTGGGCCGTTGGGGGCTAATGCAGGGAGGGATGACGGGCCTGTTAGCGTCACCTCTTCCTTGACTAGGCAGCCTTTGCACTCGCCTACCTGCATCTTGCCATGTAGTTGACTTTTCCCCGTCATTTCTTTGTGTCCACACTTTGTCTTGTTCTCCTTTTGCCTTCTCCTCTTCTTGTAATTCTAACCTCTACATGTATATTGAACTAGATGAAGGTCTTTGCTGGGTGGAGGTGGAAAAGTGTCACAAAACTCATCTCCCTGAGACGTTTGCTACTGAAATTAGCCAGTCTTTATCTGCTTGTAGCTGCCAAGTTAAAGAAGCTCCTATGAGAACAGGGCCTCCCATGCCTCAGTCTCCATGTTCTCCCTTCTCTGCCTGCAGAAGTCCCAGATCTACACTTGGGATGGCCGCCAGTCAGACCGTTGGGTGAAGCTGGACCTGAAGACAGAACTGCCCCGGGACACACTGCTCTGTGTGGAGATTGTGCATGAACTGAAAGGGGAGGTCAGAAGGGTTTCTGTTCCCAGATGGCCCTGAGGCAAGAGAATTTGGGTCCTGTGAAGACTAGCCTTTCACCTTAGTTTGGTTTCATGGTGTGGTAGAATAATTCTCTCTAACGCAGTTGCCTTGCACTGTGGGAGGTACTGGGAAGGAGCAGACTCAGAAAATCTGTCTTCAATCCTTTGATCCTCGTAGATGTTTTTAGTAGCCACTTTAGTTCATAACTAGGAATCCCTTAGGAAAGAAGAGACCTGGCATTTTTTGGGAGCTTTGAGTTATTACAGAATAGGTATGACATTCAGAACACTCCGTGTAAACAGGCCACAGTGGGAAGCTAGCTCTGACTAGAGCAAGCATGGCAGCAGTCTCACTGGATTTGAGGCTCATGAGGGCTCCCATCCCTAAAACCTCTCAAGCTCAAGCTAGCCTTTGCTCAGGACCAGGGGGCAGGGAGGCTAGATGCAACCTTTTCCCAGCTTAGCTATCGGTGGTTGAAGACCAGCATGGCACACACGGTAGGCAGAGTAGGCCAAAAACTAGTACCTGCCCAGCGGACAGCGTGCTTGTCATTGTAGGGGAAGGCCCAGCGGAAGATCAGTGCAATCCACATCCTCGATGTCCTGGTGCTGAATGGCAGCGACGTCCGAGAGCAGCACTTCAACCAGCGGTGTGCTGGGGCCCTAGGGCAGGGAGGGTGGGACGACTCATGTCCACAACAGGCTGGGCCCAAAGACAGGAGGAACGACCAGTTGGCTTTGCAGCTGCTGAGATGTGGGCCTTAGTTGTCAGAGTCTAGCACATCGCATCATGTCACAGTTGCTTAGGTTGTTGAGGTCATTTTTGTGTAAAGATTCAACAAGGGTAATCTGGTTTGAAGAGGCCAGAGCGTGGGTGGTCTCAGTTTAGTATACCTGGGCTCGAGCGACAGAGCATGTGCGTACTATAACAACACTTGAAGTCCTCCTGGACATGACTCAACACAGCGGAAGGACACTTTAGGAAAATCAGAGGTCAGAATCCAGAGGACAGACTGGGCTCTGGGGGACATGAATGCTGCCACTTGGATGGTGTGTGCAGGTCTGGGTCCTCTTATCTGGTGGCAATGCCTTAGCACAGTGAGGTCCCTGGCTTGCCTCTAAGGATTATGTTTGGATTATAGAATTCAACTTGCTGAGAAATTTGTGAAAGCAGTTTCTAAGCCCAGTCGACCGGATATGAATCCTATCAGGTGAGTATGTCATTCTCCCAGAGCCCTTGGGGCTGTGGCTTTCTGTTGCTTACTTCTCTTGTTCTATGTGGCATGACAGGGTTCAAGGCAGGACAGGTTAGGGCTTCCTACTTTGAGATGCACATGTCTGCCCCTGAGTTACCCATTCACTCTTGAGCATCCTTAGCCGACTGCATGGGATGGGGATTTGATTATGGAACTTGGTGCTTGTGGAGAAAGAGGGCCCTGTCAACAGGAAGCATTAGGGTGAAAGTTCTAGGCAGGAGGAGAGAGGGTAGATGGAGCAGACATCTTCTCCAGGTCAGATGATGTTACAGCACTGGAGGGTGAGGTGCTTGTTCCTACACAGCAGAGAAGTATTGGTAATGCTCATCAATAAACTTAGAATTGAATCCAGCATTGAGGATGCAGGACAGTCTCCAAGTGAGCTTAGCCTGTGTTGTATGGTGTCCTGCCTACTGGTTTCAACAGGCAGCTTACTCAGGAGCTGTTCCCAAGGCAGGTTTGGTGTCCCCAGATATGGAGGGCTGGGCCTCAGACTAGAGTCCTATACCCTGTACCGGGTCTGTGCCTGCAGGAAGACTAGGACCACCAGGTCTACTGAGCAGAACTGAGCTATGGGAAGATCTAACATCTATGTAGATAGAGCCAGGACGTGTGGCCTATAGTGTCGGTGAAGGTTACTTGAGGTAAAGGGTGTTGTTAGAAAAATGTGCCTGCAGTATTTTTCCTTTTAAGTCTCCCGTCTTCAGGGTGTACTGCTGAGTCCCAGCTGCTGCTGCAGCCCCAGGGGTCTATGTGGTAGCCCTGAAACCTAGGAAGGCTATAGGATAGCAGTACCACAGGCTCAGCCGCCTCATCTTTGTGGGCTGCTGGTTGCAGGGAGGGTCTGAGGACAAGGGCAGGTCTAGGACCTCCCTGTCATGCCTTTCACAAGCATATCCCAAGAAGCTCTGTCACCTGCTCTGCTCACAGGGTGAAGGAGGTATACCGGCTAGAAGAGATGGAGAAGATTTTCGTCAGGTAAGGAGCACCCATATGCTCTCTGCAGGGTGGGTTATATAGAGCTGGCCCTGGCACTACCTACCACCCACACACACACCCTCTCACCGATATGGTGGGGAGTCCCAGCTGTGAGCTAGCTCAGCACCTATCAGGAAGGAGACAGGGTGCTTTTATGTCAAGCAGAAGTGTGGGTAAAGTCACTACTGAAGTAGTATTGCAAGGAACAGAGGTGATGCAAGCTGCTTCCAACCCTAACTCCCAACTCATAGCCTGAGCCTGGAGCGGCTGGGGGCAAAGATGAGGTTCAGTGTGCCTGCCACACTCGGCCAGTGGGTCCCACTGTGAGAGCTCCAAAGTCGTCCTCGGCTGACTGCGAGTGCGGAGCCTGTGCTCTCCCTAGTATGGTTGGAGCAGCATGCTTAAGGATCTGTTTTGGTTTCTTCTGCCAAGCCAGGATAGAATAGTGGGATTAGTGTCTCTGAGAGTGACTGGAGACTAACATTAGCATGCCCGACTCTGTCCCTGTGCATGTGTCCTGGATGCTCATCCGTTTGGGGACGTCAGGTTAGAAATGAAGCTCATCAAAGGCTCTGGCGGCACGCCCAAGCTGAGCTACACGGGGCGGGACGACCGGCACTTTGTGCCCACGGGCATCTACATCGTCAGGACTGTAAATGGTAGGTGCTGAGGGACCGGCGCAGACGTCTTTGCTGAGGTGGACAGCAGTCAGCTGGCAATTTCTGAGGTACCTGTTGGAAACACACTCAAACTGGGCCTGTTCTGGCTCTTGGCTGGGGGCAGAGAGAGATGAAATTGTAAACGCCCATATGGTGTTCTCAGCAGGTAAGCATGGCCTCTCCACTATGTTCCCCTATAGGCTGGAGGTTCCCTCGTAGTGCTGAGGACCAGAATAGGCCTTAGGGAAGTTATAATATGCCATCCTCTTGACCCATTTGGGCTGGGCCATTGGAAGCTGGAGGGAATAAGCAGGGGGAAGGAAGGATGGACATCCTTGGACAGACCTAGACCATCCCCATGGGTACTGTCCTGAGTGCCTGCCCTCTCCTCCCTCAGAGCCATGGACCATGGGATTCAGCAAGAGCAGCAACAAGAAGTTCTTCTACAACAAGAAAACCCAGAAGTCCCTCTACATACTCCCTGCAGAGTCCATTGCCCCCTTTCAGTAAGTAGCCCCGCATTGCCTTGAAACCACCACTGCCATGCAGAAGGAAGCTGCCCCGTACGGGCCTGACTCCTCCAGAGCCTGGCTAGACAGCTGACTCGCTAGGTGGTGGGGGGACCTGCTAGAGAGTTTGGAGGAACATGGTGCAGGAAGCTTGCCCCTTATGACTCAAGGGCCCAGGTATTCCTCGGGACATGTCAGATTGCTGCTGGACGTGAACTTCTGCAGCTCTCCAACGGGATCTCAAGTTAGCCGCCAGCACTTGTGTCTGTAGGGAGCTAGTACTGATCTCAGTGGAACAGGTGAGCTAGGAATACCAGTAGTCTAGCTGGATGCAGGTGGTGGCAGCACAACTTAAGTTCTTGGAGGCATGGGCGGAGCTGGGGCCCACTGGGTGGACTCTTTTAGATGCCATAGGGGTATCTGTCAATCAGTCATGGACAGAACCCAGGGTAAGTGCACCCAGCCAGGGATGTGCTAGTGGTTTCTTGGTCCTGCACCACCTAGGTACAGCACTCTGATGGCTCCCTCCCCCGCTCCTTTATAGTACCTGCTACTACAGCCGGCTCTTCTGGGAGTGGGGAGATGGCTTCCACATGCGTGACTCCCAGAAGTCCCAGGATCCAGACAAGCTGTCCAAGGAGGATGTCCTTTCCTTTATCCAGAGTCACAATCCTCTAGGTCCTTAGGGTTTCCACCTGATGACTGTCCTGTCATTCTTATGGCCCAGTGTCTGGTTCCTTCTGCCTCTTGGAAAGGAACTAGGACTGTTGTCCCGGGTCTTAAGGGAGATGGGCTCTTCCCCATTCCCAAGGAGCTCAACTGGGACCTTATAGGATGCATCCTTGTGGACCTCTGCTGCCTGACAACTGACACCAGCAGGAGTGAGCTTTCAGAGCAGCTGCGCAAGGCAGGACAGGCTTAGTACTTGCCAGAGTGGTATGCTTGGGGCTCAGGCTTCCCCTCTGGAATTGGTAGACTCAGTGTTCTGAGTTCCATTTACTGCCCCCAAGAGCAGTTGGGTCCTTGTTTTCCCCAATTTCTACTAGGCCAGCCAAGTGTGGAGGCCCTCCATCATGCACTGGCCAGGAGCAGCTGTTGTACCAATCAACGTTGTTTCTTGTGGTCTTTTCCCCACCCCAATCCAAGAGTTTGTCCTGGCAGGTCGGGAAGGAGCTGTGGGGACTGCGTGTAACGGCTCCTTGAGTTCCCACCTCTTGTGTTCTCAGCACTGAGCAGCTCCAGGGGGAAGAGCAGCTCTTTCTGTCTCAGCAGTAACAGGGAGTAGGGGTAACACCTGCCCTCTAGCGGTCCAGGCTACCTGAGGTTCTTGGCAGAGCTCTGAGCTGGCGGTGGCTCTAGCTGCCCCTTCCTCTTCACTAGGAGGTACACACCGACCTTAGATTTGTCTATAGTCACTCCATCTCCTGTCTCTCTAAGAGGGAGGAATGGCAACAGCTTTGGGTTGGGGAGGGCACCTGTGGTTGTCTCTAATGGGAAATCTCTCTCAAGAGATGCTCGTGCAGGCTCCCTAGGGCCCCATGCCAATGCCAGACTGGTTTCCATGGAGATAGGATATGGAGACACCTGTGAGGCTGGAATTGACTCCACCATGGGAGGTCCCTTCCACCAACCTTAAGCCAGCAGTAAGTGCTAAGATGCCATAGTTCCACCCAGTTCTGGGTCTATCAGTGTGTCTTACAGAATCTTGGATCATTAAACATATTTTTACTGCTTGTGTGGCTCTGTGCTAGGCTGCTGTTGTCCACAGTGCTGTGCGGTTGAGGAAGGGGGAGTGTTTGTAGACTACAAGCCTCTCCGGCTCCCGAGACTGCTGCCTGCCTGCTAGACAGGGAGCCCAAAGACATCAAGGTGCAGTTCCTGTTTAGAGCAGGGACTGGGAGTGAACGAGCCCACCGCCCTAGGAGGGTGGGAAGCCACTTTCCTTCTCTTGCATAAGCCACACAGTTGACCCCATGGCAGCACTGTGACAGTCCAGGATCAATCTGTGTGACTTACATAGTGAAGGCTTCAGACCAATGACTGTCACTAGACAAGGGACAGGAGAAAGGATCTTCCACTGACTCTGGCTAGCCTCCCTCCACAAGAGGCCATGGTCTGCACTGAGGAGATGCTCACTGGGTCTCCATGAGCTCCTGGTGAGAATTCCTTCACTTGATCATCACATACTTTGGTGGGCTGCTTCCAGCTGGATTCTGTTTTCATGTTTCACAGCCTGTTTTGACTTGGTGGGCTCCTGAGTGTCCAGGATGGCACTGTGTGTACTTGCTGCACCGCAGCAGGCGTTCTTCCTCCCTTAGGGCTCTCTACTGTGAGTGGAGCTAGGGTAGAACCGTCAGCTGCTCCTGACTGGCCTCCTCAGTCCCCTCCTACTCACTGGCTGTTGTCACCATGTCAGTCTGGTCATTGCCATAGCTCTTGCTGGCCACTAGCACCTGCAGGCCTCCCTGGCCCCGCCTGTCTCTGGACGAGATCATTCCTCGTGCTCCTGGAACCTCCACTTCAAGTCAGCTTTTCCTGTGCATGCTGCATTTTCTTCAGTGGATTACCACTGTAATTACACAGGGCAGAGTCTGGAGCTGCAGATGGCACAGTGCTTGCCCTCCCAGCCACTCCCTCCCTCCTGAACTGTACACAAGAATTTTAGAACATCCCTTCATCTTTGAGACCAGAGTGCCTCCCTTGTTCACCCTCCCCTAGTCAGCAGGAAGTATTTACTCACTAGACAGCAGAGCCTGGGGCTCTTTATTGCCCCTCTACTAAGCAATAGAAGGAAGCAGTACCACGCCCTTCTGCTACAGCTGCTGGGCAACCGAAGGGGAAAGGCCCCACCTCTGTCATGAGCTTGAAAGGCGGCTCCGTCCCTGGTTAGGGAGTGGAGGGGAACTTGCTCGGCTGAAGAGGTCTGACTCACATAGTGCAGTGAATATAGAGCAGGGCGAAGACTATGAAGATGGCCACCGAGAGCAGCATGTTCTTCCGGTTCTCTTGTCGAAGCAGCTTTAGCTCCTTCTCTGGGAGGAAAAAGATGGGAACAAAACAGAACATTGAGGCCCACCTAGCTGCTTCTGCTTCCCAAAACGGACGTTCTACTGAAAAGAGGTGTCTCCTTCCAGCCACTGTCACCCTCCAAAACCTGGCCCTGGGCCCTGATCTGGCCAGACCCTCAAAATCCTTTAGCTAGATTTAGACCTAAGAGCAGGCCTGACTTGCTTAACCACTTCTCTGAGCACAGCATGGCGTGTGTGGCCACTCCCGAAAACCACTGCAGGCACATCCTCTCAGCCGTCTGAAGGTAGCTCTGCAGTGCTCATCTTTCGGGAGTCTTCAAGACAGCAGGGCCTCCTTGGGCTCACACAGTTCCTGTACTGCTGCTGCCTGAAGGTCCACCTGACATTCTTGAGCTGCACTCACCAGTCACCACTGTATACAGGTTCTACCTGCAGAAGCTAAGCTGATGTCCTGGCCACCTCCTCTACCTGTGTAATGGACTAAGAGGAGACCTGCCGGCCGGCTTTGGGCTGAGTAGAGATGGGAGGGGACACATCTGAAGAGCTCTCTGCAGGCCACAGTCCTAGCCTCAGGGAAAGGGGTACTGGGCTCTACCTGACTGCTTTCAGCACCCAGAAGGTGGCAGCATTGCTCCACCCACAGAATGCCTTTCCTGCCCCAAGTGAGGACTATCCTCTACCATTCCCAGTCTAGGTTGTTCTGGTGGGGTGTGGCATGAGATGCAGAATCCAGTGTCTATGGATGTGGGCCTTTCTTCTGGACATGGCCTAGACACCCCCAAAGAATACAGACCCTTGCTATTGCTTCCTCCTTTGGAAGAAAAAAAAAAAAAAGTCTTCCCAGATGCCAGGACCAGGCTGACAATAGGAGGGAAGTTTCTTACCATACTTGGAGGCTTTGTTCATGAGGGTGTTTTTCTCCTTCTCCAGAGACCTCCTGTGGGGAAGAAGTTTACAGCTCAGACCCTTTTCCTGTCTTAACAGGAGAAGCAGTAGTTCTTGTCTGTTTGAATAAGGGGGTCAAAAACTAGGATCCTAGGGCACAGGAGTTGAAGCTCAAAAGTTAGGGACCATTCTGCCCTGGCTTAGAGGGTGGTGACTGGACAGAGGTGTTACCTGTCCTCAGGACTCAGCTCGGCCCGGTAGAGCTGGGAGGTCACAGCCTCTAGGTCCTTCCGACACTGAGACAGCTTTTCCTCTAGCCCATCAATCTGAAAGAGACAAAGGCACAGAGTTCCACAACCTTGCTTGACACTGGCACTTCAGAAGGACTCGCCTCTAAGTCCCCCCCACCCTCACCCGTGCACCCCATGTTTGTACTGGGCAGGGCCCAGCTTTGCTGTTGACAGAGTACTTCAAGCTGAACTGCCAGGCTGAGTCCTGGGAAACAAAAAGTGGCTGTCACCTGCTTCTGACCCTCTGAAGCAGGCACAGGTTGAGGGTGAAGCAGAACCCCAGGCTAGCTATGTCTCGCAAGAACAGAACACCAGTTGTTTCCAGCAGAGCCTGTAGCACTTGCCCTATGGTGCACTAGAGGGAAAAGGCGCTGCAGAGCCAGTACCAGGTCCCAAGCGCTCCACGTGGGTGGATGGAGTTAAATGTCTACGGTGCCTCCTTGTATATAACAGTGCAGTCTGTTTTGTCACAAGAGACAGTTTTCTGAGAATCAATAAAAATTGGCGAAACAATGCAACTTAAAACCACTTCTATTTCTCTCCGATGTGACTCTTGGGCAGAAATGTTGCCTATCACCAAGGTCAGCAAAACTCAGTGGCAAAGTAGCTGAGCTTCTGAAAGCTGGAGAGCTGCCAGCCATACCTGCTCTCATGTACTCTGTCAGTTGAGAGATGTGATCTTAGAGAACCTACCCCGGGTGTGGGAACATGGTTTGTAAGATGCTGAGCAGGATGGCCCACATCTGCGTGCCGTGTGCCCACTTGGCTTTCTCTTGGTCTCTAGGTATCTCAAGTGGCCACCTCTCTGGCTGGGTCTAGGCTGGCTGGCTGGCTAGCACCATGCTTTTTGGTGGCTGGATGTGTTGAAGGCTCCTTGGGTCCCTGTAACACTCCTTTTCCATCTCTGACTTCACCCACCCTAACCAAGTCCCCAGGAGAGACAGCAGATGGAAGGATAGGGTTCCCTAAATGGAGTATTTTTTTCTGACGAGTCAGGGCCACCCTTCTGTTGGTCTCAGCCCCACTCCTTATCGGAGCTACCCCTGGAAGAATCCTCCCTCCCAAGCAGGCTGCTCAGTCTGGATGTCCCAGGCCACTAGTCTGGGGCTGCAAACCAGGAAGGTTAAGTCCCTGGGCCTCTGCCTTCTTCCCTGGCCAACAGCCATCTCAGACAGTCTCAGTCAGCTACTTTGGTAAGTCCAAAAAAAAAAAGGTCAACTTTTTTTCCTACAGCAGAGTCAGGACAGCTCCATGAGTGGGAATAACCTGGTTAACTGTGCCATTTCTCTGCTGATGAATACCAGTCTCCACCAGCAGACTGGGTAGTCCCCAGAGAAGCCACAAGCCTTCTTTGAACTACACTGCAGGGAGTGAACACAGGAGAGCCAGGCTTGGGGACAACAGTCTGATATAGGTACTTCTGGCCGCCATGACTGCCAGGCCCCAAGAATGCTTGACTCTGCAGCTTCTTAGGCCATCTGCCCCCTCTGTGCCCCAAAGGCCTGGTCTGCAGTCTTCCTATGTGTGGCTGGACTGAGTGGCACCTCAGTGTGGACAGACTGAAGGGCTGGGGCTGGGGCTGAACTGTTAGGAGTTGATAGTACGGACTTCTGAAAACCTCAGGCTCACTGAAACAAGAAAACAGCTGTGTGCACACAGCTGATGCAGCTGGCTCCATCTGTCCAGCCCAGGTTCTGTTTTCCATGCCACGCTTCAGGCAGGGCCGAGGGAGGGATCCGATGAAGGATTTCCATCCCTGAATGCCTCTGGAAGGTGCCCAGGTGCCCAAACAAGTGGTCACTGCCCCGGAACAAGGCCAGGCACTCCTGCTGAGCAGTCTTACAGACAAGGCCATGGCCAAGCTGCTCCGCCATCATGCTCTGGACAGGGCCTGAGGAGCTGGCAGTCAGGGGCCTTTATCTGAACAAGCCCAATTTATTTGCAGTTACACTGAATATCACCACTTTCATTTGCCACTTTTTAATGAGGCTTAAATGGACGAACACAAATCAAGGTTTTAGGGACTGAGTTCTGACCTCCCTCTATGAATATTTATGTCCTGCTGACAGTTCTGATTACCTTCTAAATAGTAAGCTCTCTTTACAACTGCTGTGGGCTCAGGGCTGGGGGCAATGCAGAGGGCTGGGTGCTTGAGCCTTGAAGGAGGCTTTTCAGCAAGCAGCAGATTCATCCTTAGGAGACTAGACACCAGCAGCAGAAGGCAAAGTCAGAAACTAGTAATGGGGCAGAGAGTCCAGGAAGCAGGCTGTGGAGGCAGGAAGGGACGGTCCTAATGCTGGTTCTAGATGTGACTCAGGGGCCACAGAGGTGGCCGCAGAACTGACTTAGCCAAAAAGACAGGTCAAAAAGGCAAGAAAAGACCAGAAAAAGGACCTTACATTAAGCCCCCAGTTGGACTCTCAGGCACATGGGTTCTGAACTGACAGGTCACTCCCTCCCTGCCCTCAGGCCAAAGGAAGCCAGGCCCAGCAGCTAGGCGCTTTAGGATCAGAATAAGAAGACAGATCTCAGGAAGAGTCTAGAAGAGTAGGGTCAGGGCTGGGCCAGCGGTTGGACTGAAAGCTGGAGGCTTAAAAATGGGCTATCAGGTGAAGTGCACTACAGGGCTCCAGCTGTAACTGGTCACTTGTCACTTGGGAATGAATGGCAGGCTCCTTAAGCCTGCCTGTCCTCAGGAGCTGAGAGGGTAATGATGAGCCTGGAAGAGCGTCACACAGGTGGGGTTTAGTGCCAGCTGTGTTAGAGAATGGACTCACTGGCTCTGTGCTGAGGGGAAGACTGAAGGCAGTGGGCTCGAGGGTGGCGGGAAACCCTGCTGCTGTGGGCAGGCAGCAGTGAGAGGGATCCTCTTTGGCAGAACCTGGCTGGTCCTTTGTCTACGAAGGGGCAGGGGGGACAGCAGGGCCTCCGCCCTGAGTCAGCCCACCAGCTCACCCAGAACATGGCACATTGGCAAGTTCTGTAATCTTCTGGGGGATGATGCTGGGATAGGTTCAAGTGGCAGAGGCCAGGTGTGGGCAGACCTCTAGGGTGAGACCAACAGAGCCCCAGGCAGAACTCAGCCAAGGCCCAGGGAAGCAGTGGTCCTCTGAGGAAATACAGGCAGCAGAGGGGACCTGGCACCCCATAAGGCTGGAGTAGGATGAGTATCCTGGGGATTGTGGCAGAAAGAGGTTCAAACAAAGAGATGGGAACTATTCCAGTGGAGAGGGAAGGCCATGGAGCCACCTAGAGCACCTGCCTGGCAGAAGAGCAGCCACTGGCTACTCAAGTGCTGAGACTAGCCTGGAACTAAAGGGGGCAGCATGGCCCTGGTAAATGGGTGTCCCCTGGTAGATTAAGAAACATCCAAGTAAACCGGGCGACAGTGGCGTACGCCTTTAATCCCAGCACTTGGGAGGCAGAGGCAGGCGGATTTCTGAGTTCGAGAGTTTGAGGCTAGCCTGGTCTACAGAGTGAGTTCCAGGACAGCCAGGGCTACACAGAGAAACCCTGTCTCGAAAAACCAAAAAAAAAAAAAAAAAAAAAAAAAAAAAGAGAAAGAAACATCCAAGTGCTGTATTTACACCCAGGAACAAGGTGGGATCAGAGGAAAGAGAACCAGTGGCTAAACAGGCTGGCAGTCTTCTATAAGGAGCAGGAACCCTGAGACACAAAGGTGGAGCTGGAGTTTCTGAGCAAGCAAACTTCAGGCACCGAGAAGCTCGGAGGCACCACGTAAGCCCCCGTGGAACAGTGTGGTCTTGTAGAGACTAGCCTGGACCCAGCAGTGACTGGACAGTAGCTAAACCTGTCTGGAGGCAGGGGAGAAGCAGCAGATAAGGTGGAGAGGGGATGGCCCAACCCTCAAGACTGGTGCTGCATGTGAGGCCTGCACTGTAGTCTGGGCAAGAAGAGGCCGCTGGATATCTGCATCTGTGCAGGACTCAAGCCAGCTGAAGCGCAGGAGAACCGCAGGAAGTGGATGTCAGGGCCTCCTCGGGGCTTCCCTCCGCAGCCCACAGCTCTGAGCACTGCTGTCTGCTCCAGGTGAGGGTTGTAGAGCCCAGCCCCAGGCCAGACCAACAGCCCCTCCCTGACTCTGGAATACAGCCTTACTCCCAGAGCTTTAGGCAAGTCTCCCTGGGGTCCTATGCACTGTAAAACCACTGTGTTAAGAGAAACTGTAAAATTCCTCTGAAATCCCCAGGAGGCATCTTTTCAGAGGATGGAGCCTCCAGGAATCAAAGCCCCAAATAGGCTCCTCAGAGGCGGGAACTCGTGCCACTTGCACGACAGCTGCCCCTGCACAGGTCAGGTCAGGCCCCACAGGGTGCCAGCTCTAGGGCTGTCCAAGGAGCATGGGCAGTTTTTATTCCTTTGACAAGCAAGAGTCAGCAGGAGCCATGAGCTCTTCAGTAGGAGAGTGAAAAATTGAATACAACACTCAACAGAGCACCTGGACAGCGGGGAGGCACTACCTGGCCCACAGCCTCAGCCACTGCAGCTACCTGAAGGCCAGGCTCTACTGGGAAAGGGCAGAGGTTCCCCAGCCGCTTGGTTCAAGGCCACACCGCCCACTGTTTTCTAGGTTCGGAAGAGGTTCCTGCCTTTCAAGGGCCTTGGCTCCTGGAAGCTTCTGGCCAGCCAGTGACAGGAAGCTGGGAAAGGGCTTGCCTGAGGGGTCAGGCAGTGGTCATGGGGCATGCCCCACCCATCTGGCCAGGAGCTGGCTGGGTACTGAGGACTTAGATGGTGTCATGAGTCTGGATGAGAACATAAGGAACAGCACTGGGAACCAAGAGCCCACAAGGTGGATACAACACCTGGAACACATCTACAGCACTGCCCAGGTGCCAGGGTTTGTTCTAGACACTCTACACACAGGAGGGCGGACAACCAGAGTCCACATCTTACAGACGGGCAGACTTACAGTAAGGAAACAGCTTATCTAGGTGTGTCCCCTAACCCCATCACCCCCCAGTAGAAAAGGAGGTAACTTCCACCCCCATGCCCTAGGATGGGCAGCTGCAGACATTCAGTCTGACTTTGCATCCACCTTGCAAAGGGGCTGTCACTTCTGTGCAGAGGGCCAACTCTCGGCAGAGATGGTTAGCAGCTTGGCAGAGGTTGCATGGCTGGAAGGCGGTGGGACCAGGTCTTCTCCAGCACCCACCCTTAGTGAAAATATCCACAACCAACAAGGACTAGTGACGTCAGAGACAGTCAAGCATGGCCCCTGAACCTGTGGAAGTCTGTTGGTCTGGCTTCAACAGATCCTCTCCTCAGAATGACCTTGTGCCTGCCTGTGCTTGGTCTCTTCTCACACGACAGATGCGCTGCCTGGAAGGGCCTGCCTGCCTGGAATCCATGTGCTGGGAGATAGAGGCGCCAGGAGCCTGGCGTCTGTCTTCATACTAAGCTGATTGTCCCTTCACACGCGCCCTCCCCCACACTGCCACACTGTCGAAGTACTCTCCCAAATGCACACAACACACATCGAGTTTGGAGAAGGAAGTGTGTGG